TACTGGAGATTTCCAGCAACAATGTCGTGGAGATCTCCAAGCCAATTGTTGTGGAAATTTCCACCTCGTCCGTACTGGAGATCTCCAGGCTGACATGCAGGATTGCATCTAGGCTAATTCACGGCTTTCTAAGACTCTGCAGCAAAATAATGACCACAAAGCACAGCAGCAAGTTGCATTTCTCAGTTTATGTGCTCAAGAGTTTTGTTACATGAAATTAGGTCCTGAATCAATGCCTGAGTGTCTAATGTGATCACATAACCTCAATAAGCCTTTATACAGCATCCAAAATGCTATCTTGGGTAGTTTAAAACCTCACGAACTATGATTATGAATCTCAAGAGCTTGTAGCAGCGGGGTAGTAGCAGCTCTGAGCCACGCAAAATTTATAGGTAAGGGGACCCCTGCCACCCCCGTCACATCACGGAATGCTGGAAATCTCCAACTTCTGGAGATATCCACAGGCAGTGGCCAGCGGGTGGCCGGAGATCTCCACAATAACCGCAGGATAACACTGCGCCTCGAAGAGAAAAACCGATGTCTTCTGTCGTCTCAGCTATCTATACCGATGTCTCCTTCGTGACTCACTCTGATGTTCTGCTGCTACAGGAACCTGAGCATACACGAGAACGGCTGGAGGATTGCGTGGGGTGCTATCATGTCCCAACGGCCCATCTGCTAGGATATGCTCACCTCCCAGGAAGAACTCTTCGCCATTGGTCTTTCTCAATCCTTCTTGGCCTTCAGAACATTGGTTACTCGCTTTTGCTCTCAACGACGTAGAATTGTCCTCGACTTGCCTGCGGCTTGCCCGGGAATTGAAGAGCCCGTGATATGAATGACACCTGGTCTCGAGGGCGTGAGGTTGGTTCTGCCCTCATAAGACATACGACGTAAGCCACTCTTCCGCGAGCTCTCGAAATGGCATTTGTCTGATGACATCGGTTTTTCTTTTGCTGCTCAAAATACCGTCAGCAAGATCCACAAACAGGTACACTTTCAGGGGGTGTTCGATATTCTCCCATAGAAATAGAGGGTCGTCGTAACGATCTAACATTGGACTGTCTTTGATTGGGTTTTGTTATTGGTAAAGTTTAGTATGTCCTACCTAGTTATCAGCAAAACCGTGTTGGAAGTCTGCTATGTGTTTTTGCTTCGCTGAAACCCGTTGTTTTCATTCCCGTCAAGCTGTCGTTCTGGAGGTGGGATTGATCCCCTCGTGAGCATCCTTGTGGGGGATATAGCTCAGCTGGGAGAGCAGCAGACTGAAGTCAAGAAGTTTCTTTCTTATGTTGTTCTGAAGGTCCCGCCTTCGATCCGCGGTATCCCCGATATTTCAGACCAGGTCGTCGTTTTTGCTCGTTCGTGAGTCTGGTACGGCAGGGTGCGTTCTTTTGAACGTCTAGTCTGTTATATAACCCCCATAGCCCGATGAGCTTTATTGCGTTTTTCCATTGTAAGTTTGAGTCCGCACAACCTCGTTGAGACCAGTAAGATTAAAGTAAATCGTTGGCGTGGGAGTCACATATGAATTCAGACCAAGGAATCTGGCGAAAGCTGTCTCGGGAGGAGAGGCTAGAGGATCGTGGTTGAGGTGGATGGAGGAGAGGAAGTCGTTCCTGTGACTAGGATGGGACTTGTGGACGGAGAGGGCGTCCGATTAATTTCACGCTGACTATCAAGAAGCAAAGTCACTCCCTTCATCCTGCATTGGAGGCAGGGCTATCCTACTGGATGGTTAGCTTAACGTAACTCTGGGCCGCCACCCTTAGGAAACCTTAACTTAACTTAACTTAAACTTAACTCGCTTTTAGGAGCTTTTAGAACTCAAATTTTAACCCTAAGCCTAACCCCTAAACTGGGGGGTGCCCCCCCAGACCCCCACTATTCTGATCCTCTTATCCCATACCCTAATCCCTAAGCCAAAGCCTAACCACTAAGCCTAACCACTAAACCTAACCCCTAAGCCTAACCCCTAAACTGGGGGGCACGCCCCCCAGACCCCCCCTTATCATGCATGATTGTATAAAATACAAAAATAATTATTTAATTCGCAAAATTCACAGTCATACCACTCACATGGGCTCACACGGAGTTAAGTTAAGGTAAGTTAAGGTTTCCTAAGGACGGCGGCCCATAGTTAAGGTAAGCTGGCGTCGATTACCGGCTATCGGGGACGAATCGGAGACACGGAACCCGGTAAGTTCGGTCTTCAAATGAGAATAATGCAGCAGTCGTGCGGGGAATGCTCAAGCAGGAGACATTGCAGGGCGCCTGGTTGATAAGTACGACATTGTCCCATCCGTGTGCTCGGGATCTCTGAACTACCTCAATTAAACAGCGTCCCGAAACCTCAACTTGCCCCACCAACACACATGTACATTCAATGTCTGGGGGGGATGGCCGCAAACCCGAACCTTCAATAAATAATGAAATCGCTATTTATTTACTATCAACAACTTCGAATCTTCCTGTTTCTATCCGTGCAGACCAGCGGTTCACAGCAGCCTAGGTCTCGTCAAGCTGGCAGGGACTTGTGGGGCTCCCCATTCTGTTGAGGCTCCGAAAAATCTGACAGAGGTTGTATACCCTATCCCGCCACCATCGAATGCTAGATCAGGTCATTGGTATAATGGACACCGTAACTCACAATCTTTTGGGGATAATTCCTCTAACGTCCAGACGCCCCCCACAAACCCGAACACCATCACGGGGTATTCAAAGTGATGGATGAAGGTCGAGAAATTTGTGATACCCTCACGCTTCCGTATGTGTCGTTCGGTTCTTTACCCCGAATTACCCCGAAGACTAACTTTTGCCGCAAAGAGCATCCAAAGCCCTTGAGTAATCACATCGGATCCTCTATCAATCTACCCCGACAATTCCTCCAGTGCTTCTGGATCATTCACTGCGGGTGTTTCAAAGCAAATAACCTTGCGAAAGGGTCTAGACTTTTTCGGAGTTGAGACCAGTAAGATTCAAGTCAATCATTGGCGTGGGAACGACAGGTGAATTCAGCCCTACGAACCTGAGGAGAAATACCTTGGGGCGAGAAGATTGTTGTCGAAGTATACGGAGAACAGGAGGTGTCTCCCGTGCCTAGGATGGGCATTTGTGTACGGAGAAGGCGTTTGAATAAGCTCACGCTGACTGTCAGGAAGCAAAGTTACCTCATTGTGCATTCATCACCGTAGCATGGGCTACTTGAGATAAATTCGACACATGAACCCCAGGGAGTTCGGTCTTCTGACAGAAATCATCCAGCACTCGTCCGAGAAGTGCTCGAGCAGGAGACATTCCAGGGGGCGCCTTGTTGGGTAAAATGTTGTGGCGCCCATACACTCGGGAATTCTGAGCTATTCGATAGCATCCCGAAAACTCAGCCTGCTTCACCAACGTATGCCTACTCGTGACCTTCATCAGTCAAATCATTCGACGACGTTCGGCATAGCCATAGACATTTTGAAGTGTTTGGTGGCGGTAAATTGGGTCACTCTCGCTCACTAGCGTCTGCTTCGCCGTCTTAATCTCGAGGGTTAGGATAGAGATTTAGATGGAAACGCAACTGTTCGATTCTTGTTCACCAAACGTTTATTTCGGGTGGGATTAAATTCTCCGAAACGGAGGCTGAGTTTTCCCTCGGTGATCGCTACGAGCTTCGCGAAGGGCGCAGATGTGAGGATTGCACTTCTCGGTCTATTTCCCTTCCTTCGGTAGAGAAGAAGTGAGTTACTGAGCCCCCGACATGTTCATTCCCGATGACTTACAACTTTGTTGTTGTTTGAAGGTCATCGGCGGATGCGGGGGGTCGGAAATCGAGGGTTCGAGGGGGCCTCAAGCGTTCTGACCTCCTACAATCGAGCTCTTGCTAGGATCTGACGATCTATATAGACAACGCGTAAGTCAAGTGCTAAGCTATGGCGTGAGTACAGTATACTATAAGTGTGAGAGAACATCTGAACTCACCTCCTCAGCGGACCATGTAGTGATAAACAGCTGAGGAGTGAGTAAGGCGAGAAGCGAACTGTGTATCGAAGAGTCACGTCCTACGGCAATGTCCGAATCCCAACAGCTCTATCTGGTGGAAAAGCCGTCCTGGCCTCCATCGAAACGTAAGGGTATTGAAAGCCCCGATCCTCGAGTCGAGCGCGTGGGAAATGATACTAGACCGCCCAAGGATCCGGAGGGCGGCGTCGTTGATGGGTCCTCTCCTGGGTGCACAAACGGACTGATCGACCAAGCCGGTTACCGGATATACAGGCGCAGATTCAAGGATGCAGAGAATGGAGTGAATCGAGATTGCTGAGGCACCGCCAGAGCCTATGGAAGTAGTAGGTTATAATCCAACTTAGTACAGGTCGAGATGGTCCTGATTCTCAACCTGGAACCATTATATCGAGTACATACGACAATTGAGGTATGAGACCAACGAGAACGGTCAAGTAAATTGCATAGGGCGGCTGACCTCCATGTTCTGCTCCCCAAGGATGGTTCAACCTATCCCAGAGGTTCCGGAGTGTCTTAAGAATTGGGGTTGTTGGATTGTTGGTTACCAATGGAGCCATGAGTGGAATGATTCTGCGCTTGGGTTAGCTCAACATCTCTCATGATGGTCTCTCTGAATGAATTTTCATTCTGAATGGCAAGTCCAAGTGTCACCCGCACGATGATTAGGGTTGAAGCAATTCCCTTGAGAGAATGAACGCGTAAACCCTCGAGTGAGATGATTCAGAACCGAAGTGCGCACCATAATCGTCACAAGGGATCCAAAGACAGAGTCAGCCATGAGCTCTGTAGTAAACAGGTCTTGGGGATGATGGTCTCGCATCACGCTAACGGCGTAGATAGTGATCGCAATGGGATAGATCAAGCCAGACTCTAGCCTATAGCAGAAGAAGCTCGATGAGTAAGACGTTATGACGACAAAACGATGCGTCTCCCACGTGGCTGAGATGACAGTTCTATACATAGACGGGACTGATGCACGCGTCGGAAGGTACTTGTTCACTTGGTGTGTAATGTAAAATACCCTTCCTGCTATCCCACTCAGATGAATAATCTATGCATTTAGGTCTCAGATGCGCTCACCAATCAATATAGTCAACAAAAGATTACCGACGAGACCAATAACTGTAAAGACAGCCAGCCCCCCGGCGTGGGTATCCGAATCACCGGTTGCTGCTAAAAAAATGCCCCAAGCTGAGGGGCAATCAGTTCACAGAGTGGAATACGGAGCCTGATGTGAGGGCATACCATCGGCTCCAAAAGCAATTAACCCCGGAACGACCACAATCTTCATTCTCCCCCATACGAGATAGCAGCGCCAAATCTGTTCGGGATCGCACTTTGGTCAAGTTGAATTCATGCTGGACTTGGCGCACCAGGAGAACGTCTGTCAAGCAACTTCAATCAATGAAACATCAAATAGTGTCAATCAGCAAATTGATGCGGGTTACAAGGTAAACAACCTTACTTTGCAAGGATTGTAATGACCACTAGAGCTATTCTGCAGTGGTGATTAACGCTAATGGTGGTTAGGAATCGTAGTCTGGAGAGGGGGAGTAGATAAGGCGTACAGGTCCTGTCGTTGTGCTTCGTTCCAAATGGCACTTCGATAACGCTCTTGCTCAGGCGTCAGGTTTCCAAGTCGCCATGAAAGAATGTCAAGAGTATAGAACTGTAAATCTAACTGGCCATCCCGTATGTAAATAGTGCTTTTGAGACCAATCGCGACAGTGGCGGCAATGAAGAGGATAGTGGTGAGGGCAAGGTGTGCACGTTGACGGCCTCCTTTCCGCGTAAACAAGATATGCATGCACAAAATGTAGAGAACCGTGTATACGCCTGGTAAAAGGTATATCTTTCATTTGAATGTGACCAAAATTCGAGAGTTTTAATCACCGTAGAGATATAATCCGATCTTAATGACGAACAAGGCTATAAGTTGTCGTACGGAGTTGCAAAAATCTGTCAACGTACGCTGCTTAGAACAAGGGGTCGCGAGAGGAGTTTAAGACAATTCTGGGGAAACTGAGCAGAGCACTTCATCGTTGCAGGCGTCGCCAACGTGGTCACTTGGATAGGTATGATGGTGGATCAACAGAGGAATCCGACTCAAAGGGCTAGGATTGTATATATAGGGCTCTTGGACTCCCCATTACTGATCAGTAAAAAGGCGATTATTGATTTCATGTCTGCTCCCATACTCCACTTCTGATTCACTGTCCCTATCTGTCATGTCGTCTTCAGAATACTTCACCGGTAACTTCACTACCTTGCTCCACCGCCGCACTATATTAACAAGGTACTCGCAAAATTAAGCATGAATCCC